ATCTCGTAAAAAGATGGATAAAAATGTGAGATGTTGAGTATTCATGAAAGACAGATGATGTGTGTAAACTTTACAATAAAAAGTAGCTGAGAAGAACTTTGCAAAAACATTCCAGTTTTTTTAGTGTCTTTAACAGTTTGGTTTAGCAAGTGAAGGAATGCAGCCTACATAAAAAATATTTCAACTTCAACAAAGTGGCCTAAGATGTAAAAATCTCCTAATAAGAATAATGTGAATAAGTTCCCCTTTCAAATGAGGCCCACCCAGAACTTTTCGTTTGATGCAGGCGTTCGCCTTCGCCAAAGCCTTTGCCAAACTATTACTGCATGCTAATGCTGCTATCACAAAAAAATCATGCATGCAAGTTTGTTTCTATATAAATCGTGGTGTTCCTGTTCCTGAAAACAAAGCATTATTGCTTTTTTTTACATTACACATCAATACATCAAATTGTTTGTTTACAAATCCGCAGTAGTCATACATTTGGAATATCACAGGAAGCTGTTGGCAGTTGATACCCTAATGTCCCCATTTAGGCCCTTGAGGGGTTCTCATTTAATAAATATTTTGGAATAGCCAATCGCCCTCGTAAGGTCATCCAGTTTGTCACAATTGTGAAAATTTCTTGGTCTGGCCCCACCCCTATTTTGCTGTCAGATTTGAAAAAAACAACTAATTGACTATAGATTCTTTCTAATGTTTTCAGTGTTAGAACACCTATGTGTAGCCTGCATATGAAAGTATGGTAGATAAAAACAAACAACTAAAACGAGAAACATTGAAATTAGATTTTGGAAGAAAAAGAGGAAACAGTGAAAGAAAAGGGGTATTAATACTGCTTGGTTCCAGCTTATAGCCAAAAGACAGGGTTAATGCATTTTGGTACAAGTTGCAATGACTTACATGCTTGACTTTCTGCTTTTTCTTAGCTCTGTTATTCAATTTAGCATCTGTCAAGCCAAATAAATTACTGTTGTAGGGTTTATCATCTGTCCAGCACATCTTGATGAAATGAATTGCTTCTGCAGTCCTAACAGACTCTTCAAGTACAGCATATGCCTTAAAAAGACAAGACTAACAAAATAGTACAAAAATAAAGAAGCTGTTAAATTAGAAAATCATCTTAAAATATGTACTGAGAATTAAAACAATCTGTGCTTTCAAGACAAAATATTCTAAGTTTGGTTTTAAACTGGTTTTGGATGAAAAATTGCAACTTGAATATATTAACTATTCCATCACCGCATTTTTCATTGGCATAATATAATGTAGAAAAATTTAATCTTATTTGTTTGTTTCCCATAATTCAGAACACAATAAATTTGCCAGTATGCTTGTATTTGCCCCTTTCAACACAGACACTAATTGTTTTTTCTATTTGATGCAAATTTGAAAATCCCCTAAGTAATCAATATACTTTCGTAGTGTCAAGACTAGGAGTGTATATGTGTTATTTCTTTATCACATACAGGCCATATACAGTAAAATCAAATTAAAGACACACCAAATATTGCTTAAAACACTTTGACAGTTAGCAGAGGGTGACTGTTAATGGAGCTTAATTAATAGTTTTGTATTTGGGTCTTTGAAAATGGTACTGCAACTAGAAATGAGGTCGACTGTACAAAAAATGTCTGAAGTGTAATTTGGCAATTGACATAACAACGCGAGATTTCAAAGGTTACTAGATAGGTTTTATAGATGAATATAGAGTAACTTGCAATTTACTGAAGCAAAATATCCATTAAATTTAGAACATTCCTTGCTCCCATAGTTTCACATAATAAAAGCAATTCTGGATCAATGTTTTAATACCTTAATTTTAATAACATTAGTTCAAATGTTTGTACCTGCTTATCTTCTGGGTTTATCTTTCCTTCTTCTCTTTTAACAAATTTATCCAATAAAATGTCTTTAATGATATTCAAAATCATTTCTCTTTGAAAATACACCTTCTTTACTTCTTGTAACTGGTTTGTTGCCTAAAAATTTGATTGTTGTTAAATGATATCCTAGGCTGAATCCAGTCTAAAAAACCGACACTGAAAATCAAATGATAACTGAAAATCTAGCACTGGTGTTAAATTTTTACAAAGTGAATAGCTGTTTATAGAAACCATTTACTTGGGTGAAGAAGCCTATGAAAATCATTAAAATTGGACTTTAAAAAAGAAAAATTGTTACAAAATATGGAGCTTTTCTCTATTGTGTGGTTTTGAATGGCCTGATTTTCTGTGTATGATTGTCATGATGTGACCATCCTTCCAATATGCACCACACCATGACTAAGATTCTAGCAATTCATTCCATTATAAATGGTTTAGCAAAAAGCACAACCAATATCAAACTGTCTCTGATAATATTCAAGTCAAGGAAACAGATTAGATTTTACTGTAAACTGAAACAACAGCTTGCAAAATCAGGATGGAGTACTGTAGCTTCATAAACAAAACTGCACATTGAAAGTAGCAAGACTAATATAAATATGTAAATAGCATAAAGAGAATGGATGATTAACCTCATTCAAATCTTCTGCAGCATCTATTGAAATGCAATCTTCATTAACAACAGACCCAAGCATCTCCATCAGTTCTTCAAACTTTGGATACTTTGATATTTCCCCTTCCATATCAAGTGTCTATTCACAAAACGAAAATATGTAAAGAGGCAAATTCATAAATTTCAGCTGATTTTGTAGCAGACATATTGTACTTGAAAAAAGATGCATTTGGCCAGCTGACCACCAAATTTAAGATTAAAATGACACTTCTATCCAGTGGCGACAAAACAAGTTTCTAAGTTGGATAGGAACCCTAATTTGAAATGCCTATACCATAGGCTGATTTCACAGTCAACTATCTTTTGAAACACCAAAATGTGCTATGAAATAATTTCTACAGGATCTATTGAAGTGTTCAAACTGTCAAATATGAAGAAACTTGTTAATGTGATAATGTGCCACAAATGAGTGCAGGCGAGAAGCCATTCACAGCAGTCAATAATCAGCCAGGTAACAAGGTGTAGTTTCCCCTAAGTGAAGTTTTTGTAGACAGAGAGAAAGTGCAATCTTGCGTGTCTTCTGTCTGAAAGGAAGATTATGCTGGAAGACACAGCAATTGAAAGTTTTCTAGATGAATAGAAATTAAGAGGGAGAAAATTGTTTTATTGCTGAAGACACCTTTTTTGCTTCTTTTTTCCACTAACTCTACCAACTCCTCATTCCCTCCCCCCAACACCACTACAAAACTAAGAATTGAACTTTGCCTTCATTGGACACAAGGAGTTAGCCGTCCCTACTCCACTGACCTTCCTACGGGCTTGGGTACAATACAAGATCAGCAAAAGGTAAAAAGTTGTATGTCGCACAGAAAAGAAACACCTGGCAAATTAGAACATTCAAAGCAAGGGCTATTAAAATATGGAATGCTTTGCCAGCATCAACAACAAAGCTGAACAGTTTGCTCCTTTTAAAAACAGCACTTTAATTAGACTTTTATCGACTTTCGATGTATATTTATGGTAAATAGTGGTTCTTACAATTCTTTTTAATTGTAATTTAAGTATTTTAACGAACACCCAACTTTTATTTATAGTGGGCCCTGTAGTAAAAAATTTAACTCGATTAGTACAGGCTACCCACTTTAAAAAATATCTATTATTATCTATTATTATAATTGGATGTAGATGTAGTGATAGAAACCTCACCAAAACGTTGATGGCAAAAAATTTATGAACGTTTCTTTCTTGCTGATCGGAATTTAACCCTGTAATTGGCAATCCAATTAGCAATTACGTGCGAGGTGAAACTTCGCTCCGCGCAGCATAGCTTTGTCTTTTGCCCCCGTGGTGACGAAGGCTCGTTCAATCAGTTAGCCTTAAAATCAACCAGTTTAAGAATTAAACAATATTTGGAAAACGGAAATGTGCAACGAACCTTTTGTTCCCTGGTAACTTGATTAGAAAAAGTTTGGTACAAGTAAGATTAAAAACAGAAGAAGAAGTTTCGCGCCCTGGCAAGAAATAGGAGGCAAAAACAAAATGGTACCGAGTGTCTGATGGACAGTCAGATCACTGATCAATGTGTCAGATGGGACGAAAAATAATTATTTAAAATTACAAGTATTTAAATCCCAACACTCCAAGCACAGCCAATCACACGTATAGATGTGAAATTAATGTACGCGCTGAAATTCACCCTCTTCAATTCATTTTCTAGAGCAAGAGAGACTGGGGGGATGAGTCAGGAGGGGTCAGGACAAGTTGGACCAACTCGCATACAAATGGGCCGACTCGCCAAAGCCTTTAAAATCATATCAAATGACATATTCTTATTATATTATCTAGGACATAATCAAAATTCACCTTTTAGCTTTCAATTTGTTCAAGGTTAGAACTAACTTTACAGGGAGTCGTTCCTCACATCTCTTTGTCGGACGAAAAAAGTCAACACACTGGCTAGGACTGGTTCTTTCTAATATTTGTCTTAAGATTTTGGCAATTTTCTCGCGCTTATCAATTGACCTAAGTTCTTTCTTACTTATAATGTTCTCACCAGGTTAAAGAGCTGTATAAAGAACCGTATTTTTACAAGAATAGCTTAGTCTTGGAGAGACTGGTTGGAAATGTTGTTGTGTTGGGGGTGGTTGGCACACTCCTAATTTGCGCATCGGAACCTTCATGTTCAATGTAATGTCGTGTGTTCAATATGGCTAGATTTTGTAGCTCGTGTAGCTGTTTGTAACTATTATATGTAAAAATATGAAAGCTTGTGAATTTTTTTGAAAAAGTACTATTTTTAAGACGATGAAATTTGATTTTTCGTATATTTTTCCCAGTTTTAATTTAGTGTCTTGTCTCTGTCATAGTTTGCTAGAATATTTGCTGGATTTTCTTTGTACAAGACGCTATGTCATGGCGGGTGACTTCTCTAAAGCTGAAGATGTCATGGTTGAGCTCAGAGTACAGGCTAGGTTCAAACTTTTACATGGTTCGATTGATCCTTAAAAACCAATCTCCGTCTAGGTGCATAAATATCGCCCAATGGCATTTTGGACCTCCAATTGCTCATATTTGAAACTTTCGATTTTATTTGGTTTTCCATTGAACTCATTTCAACCCCTTTGTAAATAAAAAACAGTGACCAAAACTGACAGATGCCCTACTGAAATTTCAAAATTCTTGACTAAAACATAAAAACGGTAGGTTCTTCATGCGAAAGTATTAGTATCTCGTATCTGTATCTCTCTAGATTATCCAGACGCTTGGCTTGATGCTTCACATGAGGGTATGTACCTTGATATGAGCATTCAAGATAGAATTTCTTTTCGAAATTTTACGACTTAAAAAAACATCTTCAAACGACAATTTTTGGAAAAACAAGGATCTATCGTGTAAAACGTCACAATGAGCTGAATAACGACATCACTGCATGCGGAGGAGAGAGGTAGAAATATTTGACAAAAGAATTCTCTAAAAAGAAAATAAATGTGACTGAGCAATTTACAGCTCAACAGTTAACATGGATGTTTTGTGTGTTTCCCGGTATTGTTTACTAAACCATCCAGATTTCAACTGGTTAATACACTGTATCCAACATTAATCTAGTCTTGTTGCTACATTGCAAATTGCTCTGTGTGTTTTCCATCGTTCTAAAAATGGCTCGTTGCTCGTTCGATGTCCATCAAGTCATCAAGTATCTGAAAAGAAAAAGATAAGATTGAAACAGCTGGTTCGCTTTTTATGCAACAAAAGTACTTCAAGCTAGGGTTTATGAAAAGAAGTTAAAAAAATTTTGTATCAAATAACCTAAAGTTCAGTCTCACTGAAAGCAACCTGTTACAAAATAAACTATTGTTATAGAAGCATCATACTATTTTTCTATTTATTCCAATTTTTCACATTTTCACCCACTTCAAAGTGGGTTGCCAAAAGAAAGGAACAACAACTCATAGCAAGTTTCGGACACAGTGCATATAGAAATCATGCCTACTGCATAATGAAAGTTCAAATTATGTAGACAAAAGGAGTTCGTTTTCTCTCTTGGACTCCATTGGTAATTTTTCTTTAGGCTCACGGCACTGATTGGTCAACTATACCGGTCTTGTGCTTGCGTTTTTCTGATTGGCCTATTTCGATCCACAACTGGGTATATATTTTTACATCGTTTTTTTTCGGAACCTATTCTGACGTTTTATGCTCTGAGGAGTGTCAGACGAAAAACTTTTAGTATGTCGTAAAATGTTTGCTTTTTTCAAAGCCATTTTCAAATTCTGTACCGCAAAAAATTGTTCAAATATTATTGTATACTTCTAAAACATACGAGTGAAGAAATTATTGTTTTTCTTACGAAAATTGACCATATTAAGCTATCAATATCTATAAGAATTTCTCATTATAAGTTGAGGTAATTTAGAAGCCCATCAGCATGTACAACAATCAAGACTGTTCCAAAAATTATTTTAAAAAATTGTTTATCTCAACAAACATACCAAAGAAATTTTTTTTGTGTTTATCGCTTTGTAATCATTTGCATATGTTACAACAAAAATAGAGTACTGACAAAATAATTCGTTTTAGACGACGTCTCTATGCTTTGAGCAATGTTTAGAATAAAATTGCTGTAAAATATACTGCATAATTTTTTGACTTGGCCCTAACCAGCAAGTAAGGACAAAATATAAACTATTTAATTAAGAATAAATTGCTTCCCTTCGTTCATCAATATATTTACAACCCTCTAAAAACATACCTGTTTTATGGTGTATAATTAGAAGTGAAATAGAACGAAATTTTAACTTAAAAATTACACTCTAAGAACCTTCAGAAAACCTTTAACGGAAATAGACAGAAAATACGAATTTGTTAAAAGCAAACGAAACTTGCAACAAGCGAACATTTCTAAACAATGAAGTTGATCATAGTAGACAGCAAACATTTCCTTAACTGACTGTAAGAAGCTATAAACATCCCATGCAAATATCCGGATACTCAAATACCTGTGAGGATGTCGTTCCAATTTTTCTGGCAAGCTCCAGCCTCTCAGTAAAATTTAGGGCCAGGTATTTTCTGATCAGTTTTCCATCAAGAATATTGCGATGGGCATTTGTAAGAGGGCGCTTGGCAAGACGCGTTGCTCTATATAATAACGAGATTGCAAATAATACAAGCCATGCCATGGCACATAAAAACTCAATAAAAATACATAAATCATTTACAATAATAACCACTGAAGAATTGGCACTTAACACGAAACAAAAATATAGACAGTTTGTGAAAAGAATTTATCAAAACATTTGGTGGTGATTTTTTGAAGCAAAAATACGTTCTTTCGTAAAAGTTTATCGAAATAATAAAACAATTGAAAGAAGCCATCACCTATACGAAAACGGTATTTCTGGAATCATATGGTTACATTTCTATGCCAACAAAAGAAAATTCTGTGCTTCAGATTGCCCATTTTTAAAGAACCATTATTTCTTGACAAACCTACTGTATCCCCAGGATAACCCCACTGTATCCACACTGTATGTCCACTACAAACAAAGCATTCTATACACTAACCTAAACGCTCTTGGATTCAGGCCTGCAACGTGTTGTAAACATTCTATCAGTTTGTTTTGCAGCATCAGCAATCTGCGATATGTTTTCTCCATCATAGGCAAAACGAGGCTGATTCCTCCATCTAGTGTCGCTGAAGATAGAAAAAAATCGCATTGCTTAGGTGTAAAGGCATGTGGTAGGTGTAAAGATGGATGGAATAATCATTAGCAGCTCCATCAAAAGCAGTTCAAAATCCTACAGTTACATCAAATACTATTTACTACGCCCATATGCATCTTATATATGACTTATAAGAAAAAGTTTCTCGTTTTTCTTACCTGTCTTCCTAGCCATGCACAAGTAGCCTAACAGTTAGACAATATTAAATCTACTCTACCCAAAATTCTAGATTGCAGCTCCGAATATCATCTCCTTCTAAGTTTTAACCTCCTAAAAAGCCTTTCAATTAAAAAAGAAATGCAATGCATTCGAAGAAGCATTTCTGTAAGTAGCAAAAAAGTCTGAGCTTTCGCCACAGAAGTATGTTGAAGGATGAAGAATAAGAAACTGTGAATAGTATGAAGTTTGAACGAAATAAACTCTGATAAAGAGATATAAATTCGGTAAAACAGACTGAAACTTTTGTAAGGTATTAACATATATATCTCACTGAAACATTGATGAAACGGAAGATAATCGAGAAATCGGAAGAAAATTTCGGAAGTTTTCCGACAAAAAAATGTAAAAATAAACCGGTGCCAGCTCTAGCAAATCAAAGTTCAGCTGACCTCTCATTAAAGAGTGCAAATTGACATATTGTTATTTTCAATGGTATCATCAATTAACAGCATGGGGCATGACAAAACCAAATGATAAAATGGAGGCATAAGGAGAAAACAGCAAAGGCGGACAATGGCTTTTCATAATTTTCATCGATACAGCATTAGATAATTTGTAATCAACAAAGGAGATGATATTTTGAAACTGTACCCAGCTTGTGTAAATTATTGGCTGTGTAAAATCTTTAACAATTTTGACATTAAAGATTTTCGGTTCGATCCACCGGTCAAAGGGACTAACCGGTGTAGTGGTTGAAGATTAAATCTAATAAATCGAAATGATTTGAACTAAAGAGATCCTTCTTGCCGTGTGTTAATCTTCATGGTTGTAGATTTAAGCAAATGCTAAGTAAATAGTATTTACAGATTACTTTGTCTTCTGAACACCGAGAGCACCAGAGGGCACCACATCATCAAAGAGCTTAGATAGACCAACCTCATTGAGATAGACCCATTGTAACAAAGGCTGTGCCTCTTATTGAAACGAATAAATCATGTGCCGATCCCGAGAAACGGAAACAGGAAGCTTTCGATTATAAATAAGTCTTTCCTTGCACCAATGACACCAGCCAGTTGACATTAAGAATAAGCAAAATGAAGTTGCTTTTCCTATCTGCGATTGCAATCATTGCTAGCATCGGCTGTGAAGCATCGGCTTGTCGTAACAGCAGACCAATAATTGGCATCCTGGCACAACCACTTACAAACAAAAACATACTGAAAAAGTTCCCATTTACACAAGGAAAATCGCACATGCATGCAAGCTATGTAAAATGGCTCGAGTCCGGTGGTGCTCGTGTGGTACCAATCAAAGATGGAATGGATAAAAAGGCGCTAAACAAGCTCTTGGCGTCAATTAATGGAGTCGTGTTTCCGGGTGGGATATCCAACCTTGGAACATCAAAATACGCCAAGACTGGCCGCGACATTTTTGAATATGCAATCGAAGCAAAAAACTTTCCAATAATGGGAATATGTCTCGGTTTTCAGTTGCTAATAAAACTGACGTCTCAGAGGAATTTGCTTCAAAGGACATACGCGAAAAGAATATCAATGAAAATGAAAACCACTCCGCATTTTAGAAAAAGCCGAATGTTTTCAGGTTTGAGTTCCAGCCTGAAAAGACTTGTCACTCAGGAAAGACTTGCTTACAACAGCACAACTGGGGTATATATCCAAGAGTCTTCAACAAAAATCGACGCCTAAGGACATTTTACAATATACTAACGACAAGCAAGGACACAAGGGGTGTGGAATTTGTAGCAGCAATGGAAGGTAGTATCTTCTTTTACGTTTCTATGTAGGTCAACTTCGAATATATTCACCTTCTAATTTTCACAGATCTCAATTTGTAATCAGGTCCAGAGGTAAAAATGGCGTTAATACCCAGCCATATATAATGTCGAGGTTAGGGCTAGGGCAAGGACCAGCGTCCAAAAGGTACGCCCGTAGGGTGTGGTTGGTGTGTTAGTGGTCAAGTGATGAATCAGCTGGTTGGGTACAACGGCTGTCATCAAATACGTCACGATACAGAATCTATGTAGTAAAGCAGGCTTTTTTAGTAGAAAAATGACCTTTTCCTGTGTAGGATGCCTTCTTTACAATTTTGACTGATTTTGACCTGTAGATCAAAATATCAGTTTGCAGACACGATATTTGTCATTTTCACTCACGAAAATTTCTGTAAATCTTTTCTTGTTTTGGCATTAAAGCTATCTGTCATTGCTTTAATACAAACCAAGTCTTCAGCCATGGTTAATTTTCATTGTTACTTTTGGCTGTTTATCAATTAACGTTTTACACTCTATTTCTCTTTTGCGTCTAGCAAAGAGATATCCTATTTTTGGTGTACAGTGGCACCCCGAGAAGATCAGCTATGAGTGGCACCCAATATTGAAAATAAACCGATCGCCAGAAGCAATTCAGTTGGCACAGTTCATGACAAATGCGTTTGTCAAAGAAGCAATGAAAAATTGCAATCGGTTCGCGTCAAAAGTTGAAGAGAAACGCACCCTGATCTACTCACATTATCCTTTATACACTGGAGAAGTGAGTACGGTGGAACAGACCTACGTTTTTGAATGAAGCAAGGGAACAAGAGTGCAAAAAAAGATTAGTGGGGGGGGGGGGTCGGTGAACCCACACCACCATAGTTTGCACCTATGAAAAGAAAATCGCTAGCGAAATAATTTAACATGCTTAACTATCATTTAATTTGTGCCATTTTATAAAATAAAATAAAATGCATTATATTCCATTCTATCATGTTATTCATAGAAAATAGCAACCATCTTTATTATAGGGGGATATCAATGAAAAAGGACTGCGTCTTTTAGTGTTTTTCTCTTGTGAGTTGACTTATATATGACAAATGGTTTTGATCCAATAACGATGCACGAAGGCATCATGCTTAAAAAAAGAAGACCCTAAGGTGGGTTATATATATTTGTAAGCAAACTAGCTAATTCTGCTACTGAACTAAGCGGTTTGATAATTCGACAAGTCTATCAATACCCTTAATGACATTGGTGTAAAATTACTTGTTGCAAACACAAAAATGCTTAAATATTTCACTTGAACCAGGTATTTCCAATGGTAATACAAGACAAAAAGTGGTTCTCACCATAACGTATTATGCTATGTGAAATATCAGAAGCAACCTGGTCATCAAGCCAAGTTTTGACACAGAAATTTACTTTCACAGAAGTTTACGGACACAGAAGTTTACGGGACCAGATAAATTTTCAACGATTAAACAAAGAAACGATCACAATGAGGCTTACAGAAAAATAAGCATTGTAACTCGTCTCTTGCAGAAGGAACAAAAGATCAAAATTTTGAACAACATTTGTTAGAAGCCAGGGCTCTATCTTCGACAAACGATGCACATGAAAGAACGGTTCGTAGATTACATTCCAGAAACCTAAGACATAAGCCCTTTTAAATTTTTGGCAACGTCAGCTTCGTGAAGATTGCTTTCAAACTTATTACTGGAAAGAATTCTTGTATGCGAATATCGCATGATTGTAAAGGTGAAATTACGCAACCCTGGAAGAAAGTAATAAAGATCGCTTCACAACTAGTACATTTACAACCAGTAGCTATCAAGTCCAGGTAATACTATCACTTTTGAAATGAAGCCTTTATATTATCCAGGTCTTTTCTTTTTGATGTTTTTAGTAAAGAAAAGAAATGATAAAACAGGTAATTTTATTATCTGAAGAATATTCATTACGAGAAACGAAGCTTCTCGTATAAACACATTCAGGTGTCCCATTAACTATTTATCGAAAAAGAGCATCACGACAACAAAATTAAGTTTGGTACACGATCTATACGATGCTTAAAAATAGTTTCCTATAAATTCAAATAGAGATTAGGATTGCACATGAAGAATGACAAAGCAGAGTCAAAGAGGAGCGATCGTGAAATGCTGTAGAATGCTCGTAACAAAAGCTTACCACAGTAGGTCACGTGTCTGTTGTCTTTGTTTTTGTGCAAGTCAGTTGATGGCTCTTCGCAAACTTTCACTCTAAACATGGTGTTTGCATGAGTTCCGATGTTGATGTCTCCCTTCTGAAGTAATCGCTGACCACCAAAACTTTCAAGAGCTATAACAAATAGAATGCTTCTTCTAGCTAATAGATATAAATTGGTATTTTCTTAACGAGCCTTATTACTACGCTTTACACAGGGGTAATCGGATTCACTTGGGTACGTCAAGGTAGAAGAAGCAGGTTGCAATAAAAACGATAGAAGCATTTGCTAAGGAACATATAACAAAACATCATACTAAAAAAGGTATTCCGAAACATTGAATGAGAATGTGATGTTGCCAGCAATCAAGTGATGTAAAAGTTTGGGATTCTCACTTTTATTCGATCATTTTTGGAGAATTATAGATCTTTAAAATCACATCAAATATTGGTAAAGAGCAATAAAAAAATCTTTTATGAATTACCTTCTGGCTGGTAGGAAAACAATGTTAGGTTCTTGTCTCCATCACAAACTGCAAAAGAATAAAGAAAATTTTTTCATAAACAATGAAATAGTTAATGATATTTCGTTTTGGGGGCAAATTAATCTTATAAACAGCACAAGTTATACATTGATAGACTAAGTGCTGCAAAAACTTTCAAAACATCCGAGTTAAAAAAAATTATCACTAAAAATTGAAACCAAGAAAATCAGTTGCTAAGCAAGTTTTGACATAAGCTTTGTTCAGGATACAGCTTCACAACTGAGATTCTGCCAGGATAAATCTAAAGGTCACATGACTATGACTAGAGTAAACGCAACAGCTTAAAGCGGGTGATAAAAATAATATGACATGTTACCATTTTGCCCAGGATTAGCCACAAATCCATCTTCTCAATGTCATTTAGAAAACAAAGGTTTGCAGGTGAGATAGTTCTGCAATATTGGTTCGAAAAAAAGTGAATTCATAAACAAAAATGAAATATTGCTTTGAACCCTGCAGATAACTTACCTAAAAATCCCAGTATGGTTCCATCAACAAAATATTCTGAGCTGAAAACTTCTAGCGGCTTTGCATCCTACAAGACGAAACATTAAGACTCCAATCATACAAAGATTCTGCAAGATAATGAAAAGTTGTATATCATAAGTCGCTACAAATGGGAACAGAAGCGGAAATTGATGATTTTTCGTGAGGGGGCGATAATGTCAACACAATGAGAAACTTTCTTGCTTAAAATAGGTGATAATGTGACGTTAGAATCGTTATAACAAATATATTTGAGTGAAGAAGAAAATTTACTGGACTCTTATCATTTCTCAAGTCAGTCTCTAATACGCTTTTCTTTAAAAAATTTAGGCAGGTGTTGTAGAAATTCAAAAGGCGTAATTAATAGGTACAGCTGGCAAGTTTATCATACATGAAAACAATTTGCTCTTATTCAATATAACAAACTTCACTCTATGTATGAAATGAATCCTACTGGAAAACAAATCGTGCATAAAGTAGTTATCGACTGAAATGAATAACTGAAGAACTTACGCGACTGACTAGCGATAGATTGTTGTACTGCTCCTATCGAATGACATAAAATGCGAAAGTTACATAGTGAATAAGTAAGCCTAAACCATAGTAATTTCGGATATAAAATATCTTTCTTGGAAATTAGCTTGCTATCATCTTGATATTGAAGTTTGAGTTTGAACCAATACAAATCAGTAAAAATGGAATATTATTTCAAAATCACCTTTCATAATATTTAGGAAAAAACCGATATTGTGAAGGTGATATTGCAACCCCGGGGATTAACAAACCTTTCAAAAGCAGCTTTACTACAAATAATTCTTTGTGGCCTCGAAAAAGGTATCTTTTAATTCAACAAAATATTCTCCAGGCGACATTAAAATATATTCAGACCCCTGAAAGATCTCAATAAATAGCTTTAGAAATTATCTCTACGATGTAATTTGTCTTTCATCATTTTCGTTTTGTTTTGTCGATGTAATTTTTTTGTTTAACTTGATAATTGTAAGTGTTATTTGTTATGAGTAATCTGTAACATGTAATTTATAACATTTAATGTATTTCTAATTTGAAGTAAATATGTTCAATAAAATGGTAACAGGGTAGCTATGTATTTCCATGCTCCCTGTGTATGGCCTTGTAGTTTGTTCGTTTTGCAAAATTTTATGAGAATATATAAAAAACTCAAATTTAGCAGCCTATTTCCAGACCTGTCATGGGAACGATCTAAAGTATCAAACAAATTTAAAAGTTGTTATAGCGGTATAACAATTTGGTATAGCAATTATGCCTCCAAGAGAGATGACTTCAAGATAATCGGAGAAGCAAATAAGAATTGTCTGTAATTCTGTCATTTTAAAATATCAAAAAATGTCTCAGCGTTACAAAACTGAAGCTGTAACTGCGCATAACAAAAAAATGACGCCAGTATGTACAGGGTATGAATGGAGTATTAGAAGAACTATGACACAACCTTGAGGCAAACATGTTGCGCCGTTTCTATCACTTAAAGGCATTGAGTCATGGTAAATAGGCTTTCTCTATAGGGGGTCATTTGGTTTCGGCGTGATCGCTGCTGTTTCATGTGATATTGGCATGTGACCAGTTCAAGGTCAACCAATAGCATCGCAGTCATGGAAATCATGACTCAGCGGATTTTGGCACCTGGGGTATACCCATTCTATTTATCATGACTCAATGCCTTTAATGGCCACCTTTGCTAGTGGTCAGGAGAATTTTCAAAAGATCTACAATTCCTGACAAAATTTTCGAACTAGAATGTAATTTCTTGCAATTTTCTACTTTACGCTGCCCCTGTAAATTTGAATCCCCCTTTTCCCCTAAATCAATGTTGGATCTGTAGTTCCATCATTTGTGATTCAAAATCATGCATTCAACATTGAAGTGGGGGAGGGGGTAAGTTTTTTTTGAAAGGCAAGAGAAAACATCATCCTTTCTTGAAAATTCTACTATTTTTGCCCGGGATACAACGATAGCTGCAAATCATGACGACATTATCTACAGAAAGTTTTATTAGAAAAGTGAGCAACCTATCTCATTATATATGTATTTTGCGTGAAATTCTTCAGCCTTTAAACATTATACATGGTCAAATTCGCTATTAAATTTCAAACTGTCTATTTATTTTCAGCCATTACAAGCAATTAGAATATTGATTAAACTTTTGATTTTCAATACAAGTTCAAAGTACAGAAACGCATAACAAGTTCATTTCCGTGAAAGCGGCGGCCAAATAATCTTCTGTACATAATTGTATTTTGTATTCTCTTAGCCTCATGTTTAACTCGAATGCGACATTTTTCTTTGAAGCGGTCTCAGTTTAATTGCGCTTCAAGAAAAACTTTGAAAATTATAGTATTGAATATATGCCTTGTATATATGCACACAGAGGAAAACAAAGCAAGGGAGAATGAAGAAAATTCAATCATTGCGTAAACAGAACCTTGAATACGGCAGCTAAATGACAATTTTTGTTTGCAAAGACAAATCTCGTGCCACCAGCAGTCATTAAAAATCAGGTTTCCCGCCGTTCATTTCTACAATAAAGCTAATTGATCACCTCTTGATAGATAAAACGTCTTTAGGGTTGGCCCATTTGATAACTAACGCGGAAAGATGTGGTCGACGTCGCCAGACAACAGTTTCAGCTACTTACAGCGTTGCAAAGATGAGTAAGGCGACATTATAAACTAATCAAAGACTGTAAAAGTTCCTCAAGTGAATTCATACACGTCAGATTCATTGCATTGGATTACAGACAACAAACAAGAGTACAGTGATTAACAGATATGCTGTACGATAACTAACATTCCCTTAAATGAGGCTCCAGTTTATGTACAAGCACAGAGTATCACTACAGTAAAGCGACTTCTTATGCCTTACCTCCATATACACCTAGGAACATAACAGGTTAAAGCAGCAAAGCAGCAAACAGCTACCATAAAGAGTGGACAAGGGGAAAAAGTGAAGCGAAAAGTAATTGCAAGGCGAAGTGAAGAATGTAAAGTTAGGTAGATGAGAGTTCGGTTATGAAAGAGATCCCAATCGTGATGCTGAAAAATTGATGAAGAATATGAAATTCTGTAGCTAGAAACGATAAGCAAAATATTTTGACAGACCAAGACTGGATCTTATCGGGATAAAAAGTAAAAAAGGCAGTCTTTCATCATGTTTTTTTTTGCCATCTTCACCATATATGGAATAATCGATTTTACTGCAGTAATTCTAAGTGCACTGGGGTTCTGCATTCTAATGAAAACAGATTTCAGGCAGTCCCATCCAATGATTTTCATAAAGAACTTGAGTATTGTGAATCTCATACTAGCACTTGCGTGGCTTCTCTGGGACATCAGTTTCCTCCTCGGCATATCTACAACGTTCACATTGCCATTGTTCCACGTATCACGTGGGACTGCTGCAACATGTTTCTTTCTAATGTTTTCACTTACTCTTGACAGATTCTTTGGCATCAACTTTCCTATTCAATACAAAGTCACTTTGAAGCGTAAGCACTATCGATTGCTAGCTACGGTTCTTTGGATTACAGGGATTATCATCATAATAATTCTTCAGTTTCAGCCACATGTATCTGCCATTTATGACATCACATTCTTAGCATTAGACGTAATTTTCTTAATACTGTTCACAGTTACATATTCATCTGCCTATTACCGTCTCAAGATACGCCGACCAATGAAAAACCAAAGCAATGGAGATAGAGACAACAACAAAATTGTGCGAATGATCACAATCATGCTGCTGGCCTTCCTGCTTTTCGAAGTTATACCTCAAGTGATCATGGTAGGTCTTGGAAACAAAGAAATATATTTAGAAATCGCAAGAGGTTTCCTCTACAGATGCAATGGTTTACTTCACCCTATAATATACGTTCTGATCAATCCGAAAGCGAGAAATACATTGAGTAATTTTTGCACGTCCACCAAACGGGTGCTGATACAAAGGAATCAACGGCAAAATGGTGGCAGAAATGAAGCTGAGTCGGGCAAAAATGAAGCCGAGCCTCGGCAGGCGTGTGCTGCAGTTTCTGCAGCTCGAGAAAACCAGGCTTTTAAGGAAGATACAGCTGTAACGACGACGGATGACCCGAACAGGAAGAATATACAAATCAGCAACAAAGGGTAAAGTGCTGTAAATGACGGTTTTGAAAGAAATTTTGGCAAGTGGTACTGGAACAAAACCTAAGGTATCAAGTTCTGGTAAGTTTCCAGGGAAGGGGCATGCATTTGGAACCAAAAGCCTCCTGCTGTCCCTTTTCAATGGGGTTTTGTTTTGACAATAAAGAAGTTCATTTGTGGTAGAATGCAATACCCCAAAGGTACAAAAAGATTTCATAGCATGCTTCTGCTCTTCAGCGTAATCAGAAATCACTATTCAAAACGCGTTTATAGATAAGGGTGAAATTCTCCTGGATATGAGTTTCAAGAAGACTGAATCCAAAACTAAAAAAAGATACTGAAAAGCATTACCTGAAAACTAGAGCTTTGACGATAATTCTAATGGCATTGACTGGGTGCACATGTTTACAGTAATGGCGTTAATCGTAAAATTGAAATATGAAGAAAAGCTCTTAAACAAACCTGGAATCTAAGAAGCTGGATACTCTTGACAATATCTGACGTTAGCAACAGGTTTTTCATAGGAAGCATGTTGTGGACATAGACCTGGGTGTCAATAAAAGCCATTCCTATGAGATCAGCGTTGTCTTTGAAATTCCATACGTAAATCTGTGAAAAGACAAAAAGTCATATACAGGGGCGTAGCGTGCGGGGGGTGTTGGGGGGGGGGGAGAGTGCACACCCTCCAACTTTCAGCGGACACGTCAGTAGAATTAAATTTATAACAAAGTGAGAATGGTCATGTAATACAGCTAAAATAATGCCAGCCTAAGTGTACGTAGCTGTTTGGTTTATTACGTAGATTGTTAGGAAATCCCCCTTGTGTCTCGAATGTTCTGTCTTCGCGACACAGCACCACGCAGCATTACTTTGCATTCCATTCATAGAAATAATAGGGTTCCATTATATTGTTGTAGGATTACCCCTCATTAGGATTACATCATATTGCGTATTCGTCTGTTTCTAGAATTATCTGGTAGTCTATAATTAGTAACATTTTATACTTATGCTTTTCTGTTATTTCCTTGTACATATAAATATACGTAGTAAGTGAGATTCGGAGAGATTCGGAGAGGGATTCAGACAGAGTACAGACATGAAAGACTAAACATTAGAACAAAGCTAACCGTATCGCCCAAGAGGCTTGTGAAACTCTTGCGGCCCAGTTTGTTTTAGGACGGGCAGTGCTTGAGTAAGACTTCGCTGTGCCTTGTTAGTTGTTATATATTTTGGGATATTGTTATAAGTATTAGAGTTCGCAGAGAGCCGTCCTTCATTATGTTAACAGTTTGATTAAAGTTTAGCCTTGGATTGTTACATCATGAAAATGGAAAGCAAAGTATAGCCGCTCGCAGAAATCGTCATTCTTCAAAGTTTCAGTCTTCCGAGTATCTCTCTCAATTTAAACATCATTTTACAGTCACGCGACGCCACTGGACATATATTCATTATCATAATTTTTTCTGTAATATACTTTTGTAATAAAATATCCTATACTAAGTTTTTTTGACGAGTCAGCCATGGTTACTTTGGAAAGACTACGCTGATAGGCCACCTAGGACACGTCCCATAAATGGGGTGGAATCTGGGGTACTGAAGACTTCTTTGAAGGACCATTATATGGCGTACTGTTTAAGAAAACTACAATTGAAACTAAAAAAAACATGAAAAACTTTTTTGAAGAGGTTTGCTTACAAATTACTGAGAGTTAACGTTTTGAAATACCGAAAGTGATCGTTTCGTGTCAAAGCTATTGTGAATTACATCTGCGTGATGAGGTCACAAGATACGCATTTTTGCACAGTATGAACAAAATTTTAAAGACAGGGAATTTTTAACAACAATCGAGCAAAGTGCCTAACCTTAGTTTTTGCTCTTGATTTGGGTACTTTAAGTCTTGCTAAACATTTTAAGCTTTGGATACATTTTTGTAATACAATAGAAATGACGTGATCGATGACGTCATTTTCCTCGGTCCCCAAATTTTTAATTCTCTTTTTTGAAAAATCGCTCCAACCATCTTGTTTGGTATTGTAATAGGGGCAAAAAGTTTTACTATTTACTATAAACAGATTTACTATGATGGTGGGGGGAGGGGGTGGTGCAACAATTTGTGTCCTTTGGCAAATTTTGTTACCATTTGTTTAAAAACATTTTTTGGTAGTTTTTACAAGTTATCATCTTGAGCCGCAGTTTTTACAGGTCTTCCAGCCTAAAATTATTTTAAATCATTCCTAAGCGACACAATGTGTAATGTTAAGTTTATCAATACGTATGAAAATCCAAATGGAAAAAAATAAAAGACGTGCCGTGACCCGGGATCGAACCAGGGACCTTCAGATCTTCAGTCTGACGCTCTCCCAACTGAGCTATCCCGGCACATAGCATGAGGGAGGGGAAATATATTGTGTCCCTGAGGCAGAAATATCAAAAATCTTGAACCATTTCTAAGCAATATGTATAACTGCCAACAAAGGGACCGACCCCTAAAAATAAAAGGTTGGATAGAAATGATACTTTTAGAGGATATGACTAGGTGCCTATCTCTTGTTCAAATAAGGTAAAGGAAGAAGAATTCTTTTCGACTGCTGATCAGGGAGCAGGCTATAGCAAAGTCATGAAAGAAATGAAGATGCTGCAAAAAAGACAAGAGCATTGCTCCTTGAAAGGACTCCTTGCACTGAAAAATACTTTGTACATAGTTCTTTTGTACTTAGTAGTGAAAAATACTTTTGCTGACGATTTGAAAACAATTTCAATAGCCAGGGATAGTGCAAGGTAAGAAACATCAATCGAGCTCGCGATGACCACAAGACTTTATAGTATATTGTTATTTTGAACCGCTTTTCTAGTATTTTTATCGCTATTGCTTTGTTTCATTTCTTCTGTTCATTTCTATGTTTCTATGAAAAATACAGTACACAACGATAGTGGGTATAGATGACGACGTTGGTGAAAACCGTTTGCTTACTCCACCGCCTGCTTTTCTAGCAAGCAGCTTTTTTGCAATTCAAAAAAATCAAGTATAAGAACAATAATATTTTCACCGGAAGCAACCTGTATTGTCATGATTGTAAAACCCAGCATAAAATCTACACTTCCCTGGCTCTGTTGACCTTAGATACTACTCGCTAGTGTGTAACTAGAAAAACAGTATAAATGTGTATTTTAGTTATTTCTTAATGCAGAATATACGCAGATGTAGGAGCGGCTGTAGCTGTAATTCAGATAAAAAAATGACCCCACCTCAAACCCTTCGTGCCACAGTCATGATTCGTGCGCGACTAACAACAGGAAAAAATTTTTCTCAGAAGAAACTATTATGCTTAAAGGCAATCTGTCTCGTTGTGGATTGGTTAACGAGAACAATAGCTGGAACAATACCCTAAACACGATTCTAACGCTCCGCCATATTTTTTACAATGCGATGAATTTAAGGGGGACTGGAAACAATAAAAAATCCCTTTGTTCCTATAATCAATCAACGTCGTGACAGATTGCCTTTAAACCGAAAAATTTGAAAATCAATTTGACTTGCCTTTTGCCCTAAAGCAGTTAATAGGTACCCTTGAACAGCACAAATTGACGTCACAGGTCCTTTCTGTTCTTTCGCATATAAACACTGGAATGAAGAGAAAATGAGTAACATACATGTCCATTCCTAATATGTGTATGTAAACCAATGAGGTATACCTTATTAATGTAAACACATCAGGTAAAAAATTGCTAAATGGCTGGCAAGCTCGAGAGCTGATAAAAGGGGCAAGTGGCGGGGGCTCGAATCTAAGTCGACCCACAATCCTGGAAAAAAGGTCATGAGACAATTACTTTTTAATTTATTTTCTGCGTAATTGCCCTCAAAACCAGTGGTATGCCCCTCCCCCCAATGTCAATGTTGATGGTGGGTAATGGCAGCTGATTGGTTAAGCAAGAATCCTAAAAATCAACATCAACATTGATATTAGGGGCAGGGGGTTGGGTGCTTTTGCAATAAATGATTATAACAGCAAATGTCTCCTAACTTTTGTCCAGGATTGCAGATTTTAGGGGCTTTCTAGTGTTCAACGGGATACTTTCACTTTCATTGGCGGTACCAAGGTACGTGTGCGGGAGGGCTATTACCTTCACTTTGATCAAAACTTTGTTCTACTACCTAATCCAACTATAATGCATTGGATAGAGGTACAACATAATTTTGATATGACCATTTCTGTAATATATTCAGCAATGCTACAGAAATATAGAGCACCATGTTGGATACAAACAGGCAAACCACATACGGTCCATACGTACTTTGCATTTATGCTTTGTGAGTGGCTGTCCTGGCTCTGGAACAACGTCGATTATATCGAATATATGAACCTGAAATATAATCAAAATACTTGATTTGAGAAAAAACCGATGCAATTGGTTAAAATAACTGACAATGCAACCCCTTTCTGTCCAAACAAAGCCAGTTTCATTAGGACTTTCTTAGCCTTGACAACGTTTTTAAACAACATCTAATTGGACAGGAAGTAAGGTTTCACAAAATATGATTTGTTTTAAAGAGCGTACACTGAAAACAATAAATTTTTTGAAATGATCACATACTCTGCCTTTCGCCGTCAGATCTTCACCAAAATTGTATAACGTTCCAGCAACTAAGAATGTTTTATAGCCACTGTGAGTTTCTTGGCTCTTTAACTCAAGCGTTTTCATTGAAGATACATGCTCAAATTCTTCGAATTCATAACTAAAACAGATGGAGATCTATTAAAAAACACCCATCACCTTAAACAACAATAAAGTGTGGCATAGAAAATTTAAACGTTCTTTTCCTAACTACTTTTCTTGTCTCCCATGCAGTGCTAGGGTTATGTTTTTAGTTGGCTTCGTCTCGCACCAAGCCAGTAGAGGTCTCTACATCATGCTCTCTACCAAACATCTCAAATTGAAAAAAGTAAACCTTAAAGTGACTGTCGACGAGAAGGTGAAATTAGCCTTGACTATTAACGAGAGCTTATGGCAATGCAATACAAATTGGATTTTGACAGCCCAATATACACAGATAAGAATTGAGCTGCTACAACAGTAAACCAATAAATGACTATGTATAACATTTTCCCTTTAAAATCATCAAAGCAAATTGGGACCAAGTTATCACTTTTAGTTGACTTGAGTAGCCAATTAATTTTATAAACAGAAAATAGAATTGGAAATTCTCTAGCCTTGCACGCCAAACTCTAGCTACCACTACTAGTAATTTTTCATTCAAGTTTTACATCACGAATATTTTCGACACAGCTGCAATGAAAGTAAAAGGCAGGTCAAAACAGATTCTCTTAATTGGTCAAAGGTTTCACAAGGTCAAGAAAACATTGGTGCTCACATGGCTGGCGGCAGGCCAAAGAAAACACATGAAATTAAAGTAATGCATCCAGATCATGCCTTTCTTGTCTTTTAGAAAGACATTGAAAATCTAGACTCATCGACAAGAGAAAAAGAATTGGTAGAAACGCTTTGTTAACTCTTGTGAGAAAAAGAAATTCGGGAAACATGCTTTACACAATATATGAATGGTACAGATAAATATCGGACTGCAATAACGGAAAAAATACTTGAAATGTGGTACAATTTCCCATCTTGCAGGTGAAACCAACTGGATACTGAAACGCTCGATAACTGGATGTATGTACCGCGAATCTGAAAACGGAATTCAAATATTTTCTCTTTAGACACGTATGTACCAGTATTAGTTTTCAGCAACATGAAAGGCAAATATTCTCGAAGCAGCAAGTCTTTGACATAAATATACCACGTTTATAAGGTTCACAACTGTGATGTAAAACTGACTTTCAGTTCAATTTTGACTACATAGGCCGAAAAAACACCATGAAATTCCTCCTTTAGGGAAAAACAAGTCAGATATGTTAAACATTGAGTGATACATTGACAATGAAGGATTTTAAGTTTCCTTACAGATTGCTAATATTTTGACGTGCTTTATAATTCAAAAACCATGACAAAATTGTAATGGTTTGACAGCAAGAGCTTTGCCTTTGTGGCCATATCTTAGCAAATTTGCAACACGTATAAATAGATTTGTACATCAACAGGCGCTTCATAATGCTCTTTCAGGTTTTGTGGTAACAAACCAAAAATTTTAAAACAGATTTTTATTATATAATCATTTTGGAACTCTATTGTGATAAAAGTTAATTTCATACACAATTCATTATAAGAAAATAGTCTAATTAGTATATTAAGGCTCAAAATTGTTGAAATTTAGGATTAATGCAAGTTTAAGCTTAAAAAAGAATCAATTATTCTGTTTATTTGTGTTTTTTGGAAAGCAAAACAAATGCGAGTTCACCGCTGTATATTTTAAATAAACGTATCCGGCCTTAGAGACATGATGCGACTCAGTTACACCATCGTTACACCTTGTGTGACTTAAGAATAATTTAAGAATAATCGTAGGCTCAAAATAAACAAAATTCCAGTATATTGAGGCACAGCAAAAAATTAGGTCTTCTTATAAAAAGTGTGGACGCAAAAAGATATAACAAAATGGACCTCTTTCTAACGATTCCCACTCTTTATCTTCAGTATTAAATTTTGGTATCTTTTTATTGGGCTCTACTGTTGTCGTTGCCACGGCATAAACCTGAATATTTGAAAAATAATAATTAAATTATATGATACCTAACAATGAATGACTTGAAGAAAAGGATAAAAAGGAAGAAAAAAGCTTCCGGAAAATCCTTGTAACCAATAGGAACCTTTTAGAAAAAGGAACGTAAGAAGAGAACTGTTAAACTCTTTGAACTTGTTTCAGCTGGATGAAATTTCAGCTAAAACAAATTTGATAGAAATAAGACCCAACGGATCACAACCTGAGATAATATGCCCAACGGATCACAGCCTGAGATAACATGCCCTGACAAATCATGAAAGAAGTTGCAAGAAGTCTTACTGGATCCATGAATAACAGTTTTCTATGGCAACGAACATACAAGACCTTGACTGGACATATATAAAAATGACAATTCATACAATCATAAATAACAAGGCTTGCCTTATGAAGAGACTGCAAAACATTTGGTGAAGTGACGAAAATAAGTTTATTCAGATAACTGCAGTTTTACCTTGTTTTCCTTGTTATAGGCAACACTGTATGGTGTAGCTCTCAATGGCACTTTTCTGATAGGCCATGGTGCGTCATAAGTAAGATGGGTTGGCAAGACCGATATTCGTAGCTCTCCCTATCAAGCAATTAACAAGTGTTGAGGCTACGATACAAATAAAAGTAGGGAAGAAAAATGAAGTAAGTGATTATATAAGTACAATGACCATCTCTAGCATAAGTAGTAAGTCTCTCTTACGTCTTTTCACGAACCTGTAAGAAAGAGTAAATGCCTCACGGTGAGCATCTTAGGGTACAACCAACAATAAAGGGTACAGCAAACACTATTTTTATCTAATTTTGGAGGGTTCTGTACAGGACTTAAGGATGGGAGATTAGAAGGGAGACTTAAAAAATTTAAGGATGGAGAAAAAATAATACCATTGTAGTTAAGATACATCTCCATGATTTTAAAGACCGAAAATCCAGTTCAAGCAAAATCACATATCAAAATATTATCAGAAATTGAAATTATTGCAGCTGGGTTTGAGATACCTTGAGATACATTTGCCAATGCTTTTGTCTGGATTTGTTGAATGCAAAAAGCCATTTACCTTGTATCGCAATGGGCTGCATAATGTTTCTTTCCTGCTCTAGCATTCTAACATTTTGAAGACATTTCAAACAAACTATATACCAAAGATTGTGAAGTTTTATTCGTATTTTGATGGTTTCAATGGTATCAACAAGCGGCTAAATTTTGAAAACTGGAATGCTGGTTAAAAAATATATTATTGCATAGCAATAGCGATGTCTGCTCTTTGGGTAATATCTTCAGTTCTGTGGCACTCACCCCTTTGTTGAAATACAAAAATCCTTTTGGACAATTCACATTGTGGAAGGAGGCAAAACAGGTAACAGCGCCATCGATGCTCATTGGGTGCGCATTTAAACAGCCACGTGACGTGATGAATATCCAATGAGGGCATGGCCCGCAAACAAATACCTAGGAAGAAATAAGTCTCCTTTAGTTAACTGCACCACCTTTGGCTATGCCATAGTCAACAAACCAACATTCTGCATAATCATCGTATTTAGTTACTTAAATAAACTTATCAAATAATATTGCTAACCAAAAAGAGTTTTGGCTGAGTGAATAGAGTAGCTTGCAACAGAGTACAGGATTTCATTAAAGTTGATGAACAGAGCAAAGAATAATTCACCTGGGCTTAAAATTTTTTTTTGAAGAGATACCGTAAATCCTCGAATTAGCCCCCTGGGGGCTTATTTATTTTCGATATTTTTTAATGGGAGCTTATTCGAGGGGGGGATTATACGAAGGGGGTTTATAAAATTATTGTAGACATTAAGAAAACATTATTAAAATACCTCGTTTATTCTAATAGAATTTTATTTATGAACATTTAATTAATTATTACCAAAAGTATGAATTTGTTGTGGTAATTTAATAAAACGCCATAGGCAGCCTCAGATGGCAAAAATCAACAAATAAAGGGGTGCAATTTGAGAATTTACGGTAGCAGTGAGGGCTTATTCGAGGGGGGGCTTATTGACAATTTGTAGTTCTAGGGTGAGGGCTTATTCGAGGGGGGGGGGCTTTTTCGAGGGGGGGGGCCAATTCGAGGATTTACGGTAAGATATCATCCACAGGGCAAAAACTGAGTGCGTGCGGACAAGTATCACGTACGAAAATTTCAATCATCAGAAACTATTTCTTGTCATAAGGGTCATAGGGATCACAAGGTCTGGTTTCACCTTTATGACTATGTTTCCTGAAGATATGTGGCGAGGAGCTTTCATATTGTTTACAGTTTGAAAGATTCTATGGGATTCCGACGCAAAAGTATTTTTTGGAAAAAGTATTTTTCATCCAGATAATTAGGCATTTTCTTGGCTTTCCATCGCTTGAATGATTTGGTGTTTTCTCGACGATTTTACGGTACGAAGTCGTACTTGTCGCTTCATTTAGGCGTAAGATAGTTTCATCTTCGAGTACGATCGTTCGCCCGTACGCCTTTATTTTCAGCCCTGCTGCGGCCACTTAGTGAGCAAAAGTATCGCGAAAGCCGAAACAGAAATTTCGATCGCCATGTTGTTTACAACGCGGCCGCCATTACTCATTTGTCAAACCTGTGCAAAACCTTTGCTCACTAAGTTTAAATAAATCAAACTTTTTCTAATACAAAAGGAACGTTGTTAAAACCTGCCGTTACATTAAATCTCTTGGTGGCAGATTCACATCTAACTTTAAAGCAACTTGTAACTTCTAAAAGAATGATGTAAATGCATCGCATACAAACATAAACTCACCCCTGTGTAAGAAGAAATGTCCTTGAACGCCCGCAGGACAGGAACCTTTAAACGTCTCTCGTTTGATTCACCTAAAGCAAAAATTTCATCAAAAGATCCATTCGACAAATTCATCAAGACTCATTTGTGGTATAACAACGCAAGTTAAAGTGATGGATTTTTATCTTTAAATCATGCTTCAGATAAACATTGATTTTACTTCAGTAAAATATTGAGAATAACACTTTTCGGTGATGATCTTCTATGAAAAAGCCATTGATTTTGCAATTTGGAATGAAAATGAGCAAATTTAGTGGAGACTATCAAATGGAAAGGAAATTTACTTGCACGTTTATCAAAACAAGATTATACATTGACAAGATGTCTTAAACTAGAAGCTACAATATCTAAACATATCGACTGCTTTCACGACTAAATGAGAAATTAAATGTAAAATAAGCTTACTTTTTTCAGCCAGTCTTGCTAGCCGTGCTTCTGTCTTTTCTCTCATCAATAAATTGATGCAGACCTGTCAGAAGAATGTAATTCGCAATAATTTAGATACTTTAGAAAAAAGCAATGGATGGTTCCATACTGAAATAAAACCGAAGGATACTCAGTATAAAAAAGATAAACGGGTTTCAAGGTAGAGACAACCTCATTTGCGAATAGTTATGCAAATGAACTAGACTATTCTGTTTCAAAAGTTACACAAATAGTATTCTCAATTGTCATACATGTTTTGGGCAGAAAAAAATGCATCAAGTTTTGCAGAAAACATAAGATGGTAATATTTCTTAGAAGTAGCAAACAGTTGGCCTAGCCGATCCAACAATAAATTGAATAATCTTTCTTTTCTTCTACTTGAAATGAAATGAGCTGTGTGGATTGAATAAAGTTTCACTTAAGTTCTGAATGTATCAAAGTTAAACTTTAAGATATCGAATACTATACTTGAATACGAAAAAGGAAGCTTCAATTGAATAAGAAAAAGCACTTGGATAAATACGTGGAGTATAGAGAAAGTTAACGGCAAAAAGTGAGTATAAAAAAGTTAAAAGTGAGTACAAATATACACAAAATAATTTATTTTAGTTTTCATTTTGCTATCAACAAGTAATGACAATGGGATAATAACCTTTCTGAAACGTAGAAGTAAATGTTTCTCGGTTGTCGTTGTTGAGAATGGGAATGCCTCGTATATGACAAGATCTTGATCAAGCATTGCAAAAAGATGTGGCCTCGATCCATTGTTGCCAATACCAACGATCAATACCTCACTTATGACAGAGTCTTTTGATTGGCTATAACAAACAAACTTAACCAATCAAATAAAGTGAAAAAGCTTAATCCTACCTGGATGATAAACAGCAACAAATTTGACCTGATAGGCAGTAACAGACAACCCATTCCCCGCCAACTTAGATTTCAATTGACTGCTTTGGCTTGGAGTTCACTTCGCAATCGGGAATTTATACATTGTTTACGAATAAAATCTAGCAGGCTTTAGAACGATGTAAATGCTAAAGGATGCAAGTATTATTTGCAAGAAATAACTCAACATTTATGAACATGGAGTTTTACTGTCAATTTCGGATCAAAATCTATTTAAACTTGAAGCAAAATATTGCTTAGGTTGAGGATGTAAAAATTTATGTTAGATCTTAGTGTGGCACATACCTTCCGTTCTGCGGATTGAGATTGCCACTGTCTATTAACAGTTTCGGTGCATTGCTGAAATTTGGACACACAAAGACCAGCCTAAAATCTGGAACGGAGTAGATTTCCAGACTCCCCTTTTCTCGGCAAATTACAACCCAGTTCGTGACCCTTGACTCCTCAACTGATGTGTGAGGGCTACAAAGCAGAGAACAATAGGACACATAAGAATATTAAAGTTTGTACACCTACTGTGAAACACAAATTAAGTTCACAAAGCAAGATACAGCAATCATATATTGTTAAAATGCACAAAAAGCAATACAAAGAAGCTGGAGAATTATGTCATTTGGTGATCAAGAGACAAAATCAGCTTCTCTTCAATAGAAACTTATTCACTGTTGGTTAAAGGCAATCTGCCTCGTTGTGGATTGGTTAACGAGAACAATAGCTGGAACAATAGCCTAAAGATGATTCCAGCGCTCTGCCATATTTTCTACAATGCGATAGATTAAAGGGGGACTGGAAACAATAAAAAATCCCTTTGTTCTTATAATCAATCAACGTCGTGACAGATTGCCTTTAAGATGATATTGTGGTCGGAAAACCTTAGATTCTGCACTCCATTGACAGATTGAGATCGGTTGTATACAATTCGAGGACAGTTCCTTTAAGAGAGAGCAAATTTTTCGCCCTTTCGTATTCAAAACCATCTGAAAATACAACAACGTTTTTTCTGAATCGACCTGAATGAGTTCTGTACAATAGTCGGATTAGAAGGTCTGTGCACAGTATTACGGATGTTTTAATGTCTTGCTGTCAACCGATAGTTCTTACTGCAGTTTAATATCTTCCTGGATCGGTGGCACTTGATATACTGTTCTGTTCAACACCTGGGAGAAATGTCGCCAAATCGGTCCGAATAAGATCAAATAGGCCCTTTTAGCAACAGTAAAGAGGTAACTACTGCAGACAAAAGATCAGTAAAGTAAGATTCCTCTGCTCTAGATTAGCATAAACTTACAACGTCGAATCGTCTTCTTGGGACTCCATTTTGACTGCTTCTTCTGTATACAGATTAGAATCACCATACAAGAATTCGTCTTCATCCATTTCATCCGTGCTATCATTACAAACGAAATGTAAAGTTATCGACTGAAAATTGCAAGGACCTACATAAAAAATCAAGTGAAAGCTCGCCTTTTCCTGAATGCTACCGGCTTTTGTACATCTAGTTTCACCGAAAAAGGTGGTTTTTTGTGCCTTACTTTCCAGTGCTTAAAATTAACCACCTTTCTAAAGAGACAATGCCTGCCAAAATTACTTGGAACACCCAGCAATTTATTTTCCCGAATACTACTACTTCCAACCAGCCCCCCCCCCTTTCCAGAGCAATGCTGATAGTCTAGAGAAATATCATACATGCCAAAAGAAAAAACGTTCTTCATAACCTCTTCTGTTTCCTATATTACACTAACATTGTTCGTAGGGAGAGAGAGGGACAGCTGAGTTTGCCTTTGATAACTGACATTAATATACCCTTTTGGCAGGGATTGTAGGCAAATTTGTAGAAACAACACAGACTTCACACCTTTGTGACTCTGATTTCCTTGGCACATTTGAGGTTCGTCTTACAATCTTGCTTGCTTCCAACTGTGACGTCATTTCAGAGGTTTCGGTAGAGAAAAGTCCGCTGGTATCTTTGTATAAACAACATGCTGCTATCTTTGCCGTCTAGAATAGAAAAAATGATAACAAAAGATGAACTGGCTTAGATCTTTGCAAAAATAAATTTCCAAACTTGATGAAACTGCTTGTAGTCTGTTGTAAAGTGAACAAGATCATTATTTAAAAAATATTCTTTTACAAAATCAGTCCCTAATAAACTTCTAACCATCAATCAAAAAAGGCATAAAAATATGAGAAAGCTTTGCTTAAGGCGACAATGTAATGTATTTCTAACTATTGTATAACTGCTCAGGATATATTTACCAAGATAACAGCAAAATATATTTACTAAGTAATAATGACAACCCTGTGGTAACTGTTTTGATCTAAATAATAATTGCCCGCAGCTCGCGCGCGAGTGAAGGGCTTATAGTCTGCCCCGCGTATAAGTAGCATATGGAAGCTTCAGTTCATGTTGTCAGCACTTTGTCAGCAGATTTTGTCACTTTTCTGCTGCCATGACAACTGTCAATCAATTTCATTGTCAATCAATCGGCTTTGTCGACAGTGCTGCCACACGTAGGGATTTCTACCTACTGTAGGGATTTTGAGGGTTTTGTAGGTTGTAGGGAAAACCTACGGTATAAATCTTGAAAAATGTAGGTATTTTTTCGAGATTTGTAGGTAGATTTTTCAGAAAGCCAGATGGGCTCTAGGCCAGGGAAACCACAATTAGAAAAGGTGCAAAAATTATGTGGAAGTGCAAAAATTTGATAGGAACCATTGCAATTCTTGCCACATAATAATGTTCCTATAGAATAAGGGTCCAAAAGTTTCAAACATTATAAACAATAGGACCTGTTTAAAGCCAAAAACCCACTCCGAAAAATGATCCGCGGATCGAATCCGTTTTTTTTGTTGCGCACGCGTTACGAAACTTTACAACCCTACTACAAGTTTTTGAGCAAAGCTCCAAACAAAAATTATTATTTACTAGAAATAGCTCTTGCTAGTACTGCCCGCAAACAATTAGTTCCTTGATAATGATTGTTTTGAAAATTTAGGTCAGAATATTCGAAGAAGACACCATCTTGGGTTTTCACAATTTTATAAAAACAGCTGCCCTAGTTGATGCTAAACTATTCTTTTTATCAAGAATTTTTGGTGTTCAGTTTGCCTTTGATTTAAGTCCAACGCCCTTTTGAAAATCATGAAGTTTTTCGAGGGTTTGACATTTATTTTTCGTTTTCGTGAAGTAAACAATGACGTATGAAAATGGACACGTGATAGAACGGGTACAGCTAAAATCGATTGCGATAAAGGATTCGTACAGCGATGTACAGGCGATAATCACGACAATCATAACTTTTGCTCGTACAGTCTCGAGTTTTTGGGAGAAAGGTGTGGCATTCGACTGGTTTTGATTCCCAACACTTCGAATCAAAACTTCCATCCATTGCGGAGAACTGAGCTGTGATGCAGCTCCGTTTTCGTGCCAAAAAACCGAAGGCCTTTAACAGAGTCTTGGCAGAGCAACGCTCCGAAGATAATTCCCTTCCGCACAAAGAGGTGGCGGTTAACGACCTCCGACAAACAGTGCTGCCACGCACAATATAACATTTCCCCCTACCACCTTACAAATTTATACCTACGCACAACCTACGCAGCAACTCAATTTTCTACCCACATTTCCCTACAAATTTTGAAAAAACCCACTTTCTTCCTACGGAAGGCCTTCGGCGGTGTCTTTTTTCTAATGCTGTTGCTGGATGCTTGCGATTGGGGCACTGCATGATAAGAAAAACAAATAGACCATCCATTTTATATTTTTATATTTGAATCCTATTGTTCTATAGTTGTATTGCAAATCACTCAGGTGGGGCAATCCAGCATAAAATCCATGGTAGATGGAGGCTGCTCTTTCATTTTCCGGTCACAAAAATCCTTTAGAATAGAGAAACAATACTTTTAGGACATATCCTGTGACTTTCCATCGTTGATGTTTGCTTCGATTCTTATTTAACGTGCAGAAAACACGGAGCCAGTGAGAGAGACAGTGTGTTGGCTGGGTAACTCTGATGTGAACTGAACTGAATTCTTAACTGAACTTACATACAAATTAACATACTTATTATACAAAATAAATGTGCTGAGTATTGATGTGTTGTGATGATGTAATGATGATGCAATGGAGAAGGAAAGATCTAGACTTGGGAAGGAATCAGCATGACATAGATGTGTGAACGTGTGTACAATGGTGAAGGGAATGTCCTTTGGTTGTGGATATCGTGGTGCTGGCATAATCGATGAATGAGTGCAAATATGGCCTATTTTACAATATTGAAAACATTTGCCTTATAAATAGAAAACTTGTATTCTGATAACGAAGACTGTAAGATACGTTTCGGTGACACTGTGCCTCAAAAAGAAAATTAGGTAGTTGTGCAACAGCGAGATTTTTGACAAAGTGGACCCGGAATTCTTAAAAACGGGAAGAGGATGATTTCTGTATAAAAAACAGGATTATTTAAAAATATCACCTATTGAGCATAGGGCAAGGTTTGAAAAAAAACTTGAATACACAGGTTTTGGTTCTTCCCCTTGGAAAAAGGGGAAATCCCTGTTATATAGCTTCGTCATGTATAAAAACGTCTGGGGACTTGGGGAGCTTTATTTCATGCAAGTCGCTAGCAACGTGAAGGCAAAAAGTGCAATTCAAGGTAAGTGTTGTATGCATTTAATGTTATAATACGTTTTATTCGTTGATTTATTCTAACAAGGCTTGCAATTCAGCATTCGAATCTCTTAGGTGAATCAGTCGAGTCATTTCGTTGTGGGATAACCAACGAACAGCAAATCATTTTCAAATCATATATAAATCATTTTCTCATCTTTTACCTTTTATGTTAAAACCATTATAATAACCTGAAAAATGAAACTCGCAATGACCCAATGATCATGTAAAACTTAATAGAATTCTGAAATGATCAATAAACTTCACTTCTCAAAGAAAAAAGTAAAGACAGTGCGGACTCTGAAACTTCGCGATTTTCTGTCAAGTGTCGCGAATTCTCTACAGCCAAGGTTCTTATCGTTCATCATAAGGACACGAAACAACCCCTTTCAGTTCACAGCATCAAAAATCAGATGCATGGAATTTTGGAACTCTTCAACCACGATTAATTCCATCGCGGGGACCCCTTAGTTATGATAAACAACACCATAATATCAGGAAAAACATTTTGGGCTTTTGGTGCATCAGCCCTTGTCTTGCCTGAGCAATGATGCAATTTTATGGTCGGTGTTTGATTCCAGGGAAAAAGCCTCAGTTTTTTACCCCGATAATCAGACTGATACACCTGTCATACAATCGAATGACTGTGTGAGAAGAAGTGAGACAGGAGAAGGCAGAAGGAAGTATGTAACGGGATATAGGCAGAACGAGAAACGAGTACAAGGGGACAGGGATGGGAGGGGGAAACGCGTACGAACAACGCGTGAGTCTTGCTGCAAAATATGACATGACCCTAGCTGCATCACTGTACTTAAACAAATATGCCAGGAAAAGACCACCTAGAAAATTCCACAAGGTGATTAGCAAATAGCTAAGGTAACATGATATACACAGCCTACTAAGGATATACTAGACCAAGCGAGGAAGGGGATACTATACTAGACCGATCGTCACCCATCGAGGGAATTTGCAAGACCAACTCTATTTGGTCAATTTCGATACGCTGATTACGAAAATCGATGTTATACGGAGAAATTCGGTACCAGGAAGCCTCTATTTCACGTTTAAACCTCGTTTTCGTCCAAATTTGAACGTTGAACGAAAGTTTGTAAATGAATCGATTTTTATCAATTTCGATGTGCTGATTTCAAAAAATTATTTAAAAAATGTAAATTCAGTACCAGGAAGCCTCTATTTCGTGTCCAAGCCTCGTTTTCATCAAAATTTGAACGTTGAAAAAAAGTTTGTAAATTTTTATTCTCATCAATTTCGATATACTGATTTCGAAGGTTGATCTCATACGGTGGAATTCTGAATGCACTGGTCCCTTTTTCATGCTGAAATTGTTTATTTATCGTTTTCAATATTTCTAGAGTAAAATCTGCTGCACACATAGATTTGCTTTAAAAGATTGAAAAAGATTATGTCAAAAGGCTATATAATACGGCTAATAAACATTTAAAGTTGTTTTGAATAAACATTCTAGTATCCGTTGTCATCAGAGTCATTGCTATACTCATCCTCAAAGCAATTGTCATTCATTGAGTCAAGATTGTCTTCTTCAGCATCTTGATTGATATTTAGAAGCAGCTCGGCATTATTATCTAGGTATATGGCTTTAGTCCACGATGCGTTACCAGCTGCACCCCAACCATGACCAATAAGACTGCCAATGCTTAACTCTAACTGGTCTGCATTTCTGTAAATGTTTGCAACATAAGCTAATGTAGCTTTGTGCAAATGAGATTGGCAACACACGGTGGCATTAAACTAAGTTCAAAAACTTTCCCTTGAGTTTCAAAAATCTTCCAGAAACTCTTTGAGCGGGCGTCATTGGCCTTGGTGACAATTGTTGAAAAACTGTGAAGAAAGCATGTAAACTTCTCCAGGACCTCGATAGCAATTGGATGGGCTGGACATCTGTTCCAAGCCTTGCAAAAGTGCTCACGAATTCGTTGCACTTTAACATTGCTTTTCAGAATGACTTTTTTCCTTTTTTTGGAAATCATGAACACATAATCGTTGCCGGAGAATGCGTGAAGACCAACTATTGCTCGCCTTTTAATTGAAGACAATGTTGATATGATAGACAGCACGGAGCAAGACCACTGAATAAATTTTCTATTTAAGTAGCGCAGTGAAAAATCTAACTGAGATCTTTCTGGAGAACGGCTATCCAGAGGATGTTGTTTCAGCTTACATTAAGGAGAAGATAGGAAATTTCTCGGCTGACGTAAAATTTGGTCCTCAAAAGTGCCCGGTCTATCTCAAACTACCCTGGATCGGTGACAGTTCCCTACGTTTTGAAAGCCAAATAAAACAGGCCATTGCA